AACTATAATAGTTGACTTTCGAAATTTCAGGTGTAGAGAAGATTCAGGTAAGATATAAGTATGACACAAATTTTATTTCTTTTCAAATAATTGCACTAAAATAACTAAATTTGCATTAACTATATGGCAAAAAAACAAATATTTATTTTGACAGTAATATCAAGTGGTATCATGGAATGTTGACTCAAATGCAATATGTTAAATGCTCCCAGATTACAGAGCTCCTGTACAGTGTTGGTGGGAATGTAAGTTGGTACAACCATTATGGAAAAGAGTATGGTAGTTTATCAAAAAATTAAAAATCTCGCTACCATGTGACCTAGCTATGCTTCTGCTGGGTATAGGCCAAAGGAAATGAAGTCAGCATCTTGTAGAGATATCTATGCTCCAATGTTCATTGCAGCATTACTCACAATAGTCAAGATGTGAAAACAATTTCTGTGTGTCCATCAACGGAAGAGTGGATAAATAAATTGTGAGATATATTTATAACGGAAGACAACTGAGCTTTAAAAAAGAAGGAGGTACTGCCATTTGCAACAACATGGATGAACCGGAATGAAGGACATTATGCTAAATGAAATGTCAGGCACAGAAAGACAAATATTAAATGATCTCGCTTATTTGTGGAATCAAAATAAGTCAAATACATAGAAACAGCAGAGCAGCGGTTAACAAGGGTGGGAAGAGGAAGGGTTCGAGGAAATGGAGAGGGTAAATTGTGCAAATTTGCAGTTATGTACAATGAATAAGTTTAGAGATCTAATGAACAGCATGAGGATTATAGTTAATAATATTGGGTCCTATACTGAACATTTATTTGTTAAGAGAGTAGATTTTGGGTGCTTTTACCATACACTAGAAAAGAAGACTACGTTATGTGATGGGTGTGCTAATTCGTTTGACTGTAGTAATCATTTCACTCCATGTATGTATATTAAAACATTATGTTGTACACCTTAAGTACATACAATAAAAAAAAAAGAATGGAGATAAAAATCTATAAGTAGACAATGATGACAGGCTGGTGTACAGGTAACATTTCAGTGGAAAAATTGTTTTAATACAAATTTAAAAAGGCAAAACTAGACAGCATCAAATCGATTCTTCTCACCTATCCTAAATGATGAGACCGAAAAATGCATTAACATAAAATTGTCAATAGCTTCTAAATTCTTGGAACAGAAATGCAACTGACTCTATATCCACAAGTCTTCAGAATTTAAAGCAGTAATTCATGTCTTTACCCTCCTCAAATGGTTACAGTTGGTTCAATATTTACCAGAAAAAAAATAATGGAAAGAAAGAGAAATAGGCTGAACCCTTTCAAGTTATTTACTTTCTTACCACTCAAAAATTCTGCGTACCAAGCCTGTTGGACATTTGATAAATAAATTGGCAACAAACAGGGCAGGGTACCCACAAAAGAGACTTAAGATCTACATAATAATAGTCTATAGAAACTGGCAGTGGATAAGCTTATAAAATGGGATAGGGATATTTATCACATATTAGTTGTATAAGTAACTGTCCAACTGGTTGATTGAGTATTGTATTACAGGTGTCATCTTTTATATTAAAATGTTAGTTCAAACTGTAGCTGCCCATAGTCATTGAGAATTTGATGAGTTATGAACAGTTTCACAGAAAAATGCGCGTGCTTACATGAGTACAAGATTTTGTGTTCATTTTCAGGGCATTTCATTAGGCATTGTGGACTTTGAAGCATTCATCCTAAAATGTTAGCGGTAGGACAATCTTTATTATTTGCATTCCACTATATCAGAAGTAAACATTTGTTAAATTTATAAAATGTGACTGGCTTAACATCATAATATTTGAAGGTACTGTTCTTGGGCCCAATTCAAATTCTACTAAACATAGTGATCAAAGACTTTGTTGTAAAGAAGGAAGGTATGGATACAATTTTAACACCTCATATTTTGCACAATTATATAGGCAAGAAGAGGAATTTACTCACAATCCTGAGCCATCAGGAACAGTGGTTTACATAGAAAACAATAGTATCTTTAATGGCAATTTTAACTTAAGTTAAATGATCATTTTTTTGGCATGTTGGACTTTTAAAAAAACTCATGTTGACAGGCATTTTTTTTTCCATAAGATTTCAGACAGTACAACCTAAAATATCACAAGTAATACAAAAGTAGTATATAAATGAAGGGCTGTGAAATAAAATTAAATGAGATATAAATGTCTTTAGTATTATCTTCAGCTAAACTTAAACACTATACACCATTTAACAAAAATGCAATTGGAAGTAGGTACCCTGAAAGAAGTATGTTCTTTGTATTTGAATGGATTAGTTTCACGTATCTAAAATTTGAATTTCAGAGATATCTATCTTTAACAGAGAAGAACTTCTTTTTCCCAAGACAATTATTTTTGGTTATTTAATTTTTAGTATGTACATTTTAAAGTGGAAATTGTAAGGAAAAGTAGTTCAGAAAATACTAATTTAGGTTTTAGAAAGTATAGAAAAGTGGAGAAATAATAATAAAAGTGGAGAATTTTGGAGAAATAATATAATATCATGTGATATAATAATATAACATTTACATAATGTTTATTATATTATATAAATATATAATTATATTATGCATATAATTATATATTAATATAAATTAATATTATATAAATATTATAATCTTTATATTACCTATAATATAATATAGGTAAATGCTTTCATGGCGTAACTGTAGGATACACTGGTACTTCAATTATTTTTTCCCAAAACCGAGAGCTTGCATTTCATACAAATTAATAGGAAAGGAACTGGGAGAAAGCAATTCATTGATTTGCTTAATTGTTCCTTCAGTAACTATTTGTTGACATACTACGTGCCATGCACCCTGGGGAGAGAGAAAATAAACGCAGATGCATACAAACTACCCACCCCAGGCCCTCCAGGGGATCGCAGTGTATGAGAGAAGAATAATACAGACGGGATTAGGATGACGTGTAAGCAAATTACATGAAGGAAGCGACACAGAATATGAACTATCGGAAGGGCACGTCGCTCTAGCTACTGCACACTAAGAGCACTATTATTATCTTACCCTTGGAAAGAAAACTTTAATCAGGAGATCGAGACAGACACACACACACAAAAAAACCGCCCCTCTGATATAACATGTTTCTGTATCTCATACCAATCCAGCAGTCATCAAAGTTCTAAATAGAACATGACCGTTGGCATCTGGTTCCAGGAGTCTAACATCATGGGAATTACTTAGGTCATCGATCCATCATTTGGAAATTGATCCATCATATGGAAATTGACCCATCATATGGAATAGATCCATCATATGGAAATTGATCCATCATATGGAAATTGACCCATCATATGGAATAGATCCATCATATGGAAATTGATCCATCATATGGAAATTGATCCATCATATGGAAATTGACCCATCATATGGAAATTGATCCATCATATGGAAATTGACCCATCATATGGAAATTGACCCATCGTATGGAAATTGACCCATCGTATGGAAATTGATCCATCGTATGGAAATTGATCCGTCATATGGAATAGATCCGTCATATGGAAATTGATCCATCATATGGAAATTGATCCATCATATGGAATAGATCCATCATATGGAAATTGATCCATCATATGGAAATTGATCCATCATATGGAAATAGATCCATCATATGGAATAGATCCATCATATGGAAATAGATCCATCATATGGAAATCGATCCATCATATGGAAATTGATCCATCATATGGAAATTGATCCATCATATGGAATAGATCCATCATATGGAAATCGATCCATCATATGGAAATCAATCCATCATATGGAAATTGATCCATCATATGGAAATCGATCCATCATATGGAAATCGATCCATCATATAGAAATTGCCACCACGGGCATCACTATCAATATGAAAGACACTTTCTCCCTTGAACCCAGCCAGTAAATTAATGAGAAGCCTATTGGAAATGCTTGTCTGTGTCCAATAGAAACAAAGGTAGAGCGCTTAGCGTTTCCTTTTCAAGCCATAAGTGAACTAACACTTGTTCCCCTTCATTTAAATTTGTAATTTATGTAACTCCCCCCCCTTCAACCTGCCGCTTTCTCCTTCCCTCCTCCCCTCCTCCCTCTCCCCAGCCACCCTTGCCTCCTCCCCAAAGTGATCAAAACCTCTGCAAGTCCCTCAACTCTACTCTGAAAGAGGAGAGTGTGGCAAGAGCGACAGGGACTGGACCCGAGGTGGCTCGTCTGCACGCCCGCCCCCCTCGCCCCTGCTCCCCAGAAAAAGGATGGGAGCGCGCGCGCGCGTCGGTGGAGGCGGGCAGAGCGCACCAAATTGGGGGGCCTTGCATCCGTAGCTTTCAGCAAACGCTGCGACCACGGAGTGAGGCTCCAGTCCGCTTCCCAACAGTTTGGTGGCAGCCGGTCCCGGGAGTTGTCAGCCCTATTACCAGGAAGAATCTTCTTCTTTTTTTTTTTTTAACCGCAGCTTTCCCTCTCCGCCTCCCCCGGGGCGCACCTGCGGGGCGAGGGTCCCGGCGGCTGTTTCTGCCCAGGCTGGGGTCGCTGTCCCGGCCACCGCCGCCCCAGCCCCGCGCGCAGCCACCCGCCCTGCCTCCACCTGCGGCCGGAGACCCGCGCGCACAGACTCGGGTTCCCAGCGCGCGCGCCGCCCCATTGGCTGCTCCGAGTCCCCGCGCAGGGAGGGGGCCCCGGGGAGGGGGAGAGGGGGCGGCCCCGCGCCGCTGTGGGCCGGCGCTCGCTGCACGCGGGGCGCGGGCGGCGCTGGGGCTGCGGACCCCGGTGGCGCTGGTGCCCGGAGTTGCGCCCGAAGCGCGCTGGGCTAGGCTCGCGGCGCGGAGCCTGGGGTGCAGAGCGGGGTGCGGAGCGGGTAGGGGGAGCCGAGCCCCACGCCCCCCGCGCGGCGCGGAGGGGGCGAGCGCAGGCAGGGCCCCGGCCGCGCACCACCGCCACCGCGGCCCGGCTGCGCGGCGCGGGCGAGTGCCAGCCGCCGTGCGCGCCGCGGGAGCCGCTCTGCCCTTCGCCCGCTCCCTGCCCTGCGCACCTCGAGAGAGCCGGGGAACGGGGACAGGCCTGAAGTATGGCATGCTGCGAACATGGTTTCTGCCAAGAAGGTTCCCGCGATCGCGCTGGCCTCCGGGCTCAGTTTCGCCCTCCTGCGATTCCTGTGCCTGGCGGCTTGGTGAGTTCTCCGGGGTGCTGGGGCTGGGGGGAGGGGGGGAACGGGAGGGAAGAAGTGGCTGCCACCCCCCAACTCCCGGGGGGGCCCCCCTTAGACCACCCGCCCCTCTCTCTGGGGGGTGGGGGGAAACCAGACCCTCCTGTCTGCATTGTAAGATCAAGGCTGGTCTGTGCCCGCGTAGACGCGGACAGCGCTTTTAGGGGCCACCCGGGTGCAAGAAGCGTGTGGGTAGCTAGCGGGGCGCGTGTGCGCGGGGTGCGCTTCTCCTGACCGTTTTTTTTTGTTTTTGTTTTTTTTTTTTATTTTCCTGTCTCTCGCACCCCCAACACCCGAGCCCTGGCCCCCTTCGGCTTAGGGGCGAGCGACTCTTTTCCCTAGAAGACCCGTTTTTTCCCACCTGTCCTCTGAGCGGTTCCTAAAATAACCCCCTCCGCCCCCGTTTTGTGCGCTTGCAGTCTAAACGAATCCCCAGGACAGAACCCGAAGGAGGAGAAATTGTGCCCGGAGAATTTCACCCGCATCCTGGACAGTTTGCTCGATGGCTATGACAACAGGCTGCGCCCTGGATTTGGGGGTACGCAACGATTTCAAACGCGCACCGTGTGTGTCGTCCTGTCTGTCCGTCTCCCTCGGTCTGTCTGTCTGTCTGTGGGAATAGCATTAGGTACGCCTCACGTGCAAAAATGAAAATATTCTCTCTCTCTCCCTCTCCCTCTCTCCCTCTTGCCCCCACCCCACCCCCACCCCTCCTCTCTTGCTGAGACCTGTGACAAGAATGCCGCCCCCACTCGTACTTTCCCATCTCCCTGCCCCCTCAGAAGCCTGGCTTCTCCCCCACACTAATTACCTCCCGGGACCTGACTGCCTGCTGGGTGGGTGAGGTTGGAGAGGAAGAGTCAAAATTGGAAACTTGGGGGGCTCAGTTGCCTGTCCTCGCTCGCTGTGTCCCCCCTGCCCCTCGACGATGGAGTTTCCCCTGGAACCTGGCCCCACTTCCCCCAGAGCAGGTTGCTCTTGAGGAGGCTGAACCAAAGTCCCCTGTCCTCCCACGTGTCGTGTCCCTTTCCCTGCCAAAACCTGCGCCCGGTGTTCCACCTAGGACAGGAATCTGGGGCACGAGAAGCCTCCTGCCGAGTTGGAGAACCCGGGCCTTTCCTTTTCTCTTCTGCAGTGGGATGGTTTCTCTACTGGGGGTGGGAGGGGGGCAGGTGGCATGTGCTTCCTTCCTAAGACTTTGGAGTCAGAGGTATATTTCAGCTCTTAATTTCTTGAACAGAATAGTTATAAAGGGCTTAATAGAGGCAGATCCGTTTAACGGTGTTGTTGTTCTTTTTCATATTCATGTTTCCTTTGCATGTGTAATGAGGATCTGTGTGTGGCAAGCTTTGGCTACCCACTAGGTAAGGTTCGTCGCAGAAATCCTGAGATAACGATTCTTAACCTCAAACAGCCTGTCTCAGTCCAATTCAGCGAGGACGAGAGTGACTTGCTAGGGTCCCACTCGTGGGATGGGCCCCCCATCTTCTGGCCTCAACGTCCCTGTCAGTTTCCCACACACGTGCTAGTTACCCTTCCGTGAATGAGTAGGAACAAGACAGAGACTCTGTTTTCGAGGAGGAACTCATTATATGCTAGTAGCGGTAACCACAATAATCACACATACCAGGCATTTTACAGGCATCCCCTATGGTGAACCCTCACCGCAACCCTAAAAGGAAGCCACTGGCATCTTCCTTTTGCAGCGAAGAAATGGACAATGCATGGTTTGAGTAATGGGTCCAAAGTGGCAAAGGGGACGAGTGTGGACCCAAGTCAGGTTGTGCAGTTTTAAAAGAGCCGCGGCAGACGCGGATGGTAGCAGATGCCCATGTGATCGGTATCGAATGTTAGAAGCACGGCGGAACTGGATGCTCCCTACTGAGGGTGTTTAGAGGAAGATGTGACGTTGGGCAATGGAGAAAGGACAGCATGAGACAGGGGGTGGGAGGAGTGTGGGCCCAGATTAGAATCGGTGGAGATGAAACAGAGTTGGGTGGAGTAGAGCCAGATGATTCTTTGGAGGCTGTCTAGCCTTATTCCTTCTCATTTAACAAATGAAGGAAGACACTGGGGACTCAAAGGGGAAAGTGATTTGTACAGGGGCACATAGCGTATCAATGATAGGCTGGGATCAGTCAGGTCTTCTGAATTCCAAACCGTCTTTTTTTTCCTGGATTTTATCTAGAAGGTTCTGGGAAGCCATTCACTGGGGGTGTTAATTCGGTCTTTGCCTGTCCACAGTGATCCAGAAGGACCAGTTCCTCCTGGCTCTTTTTTCACATTGCCCCTCCAGGGATAGGTTGCCTGCACTTCACTTGCCTTCATGCACATCTGAAGAGAGACTTCACCATAGAAGTGAATCACTTGTCAAGGCACTGCTCTTTCCTAAATGACTGGGAAATTGTGACTTTAGATCAAAAATAGTCTTGTGGAGAATGTTTCGGATGGTGCGGCACCATTTAAGACCATGTCATATCAACAAAAAAGAGGATTTCATCTGCCCGCCAAGGGTTTAAACCTGGCGTTTCAAGGGAGGAAAAAAAAAAAAAAAGAAATAACCCAAGTATCAAATCACATGTAGTTTAAATATGCATTAGGGAACTGATGTGTCTGAACATAGATGACAGTGAAAAGTTATAAAACTGAAACTGCATGGTTGTGTTATTAAATGTGGAAAGTTAAAATAATATATGCCCAGCTGGTCATAATGCAAGTTGTAACTCAAGAGGAAGAAGAGGTCCATTGTAGACGGATCCTTTTTACTATCTGCTCTTTCCCAAACAATATATACACAATAAGATAAGTGAAAGCACTCAATGGAAGCTAGGACTGGGTTTTGGTTAACTGCACTACTACTAAATGTCTCAAGGACATTATTTATCATCTTGGCAGTTGTACTGCCAAGTGATCTGCATCTCCCACCTGGAGATACTTTTATAGCTTTATGGGAAAGGGTTGAATTAAGTTTACTCTGAGTGTTAGGAGTTAACTAATTATTTAAACATTTACCAAGTAGTATAATGTGGGTTTTTTTGTTGTTGTTATTGTTGTTTTTTTTTCTCTACTCGTAAATATTTGTGGTAGACGTGATTCATTTTTTAGAAGTGGGTCATTCTCTATAAATGCGTAGTATTCCAAAATGCGACAAGAGGCATAGTAATTCTCACCTGCAGAAAAATGTGTTATCTGTTTACATGAAGTTGTAAACTTGTAACCACAGAAAATAGCGAGAAAACTCATTATTAGCACAGACTCTTGGGTGCCACAAGTTTGATCCCTTCTATGACATTTTATACTTTGTGGAAAGTTTGGCATTTTAAAAATGAAATGAAAACAATCCGGATTTTGACCAGTACACTATAAATATGTATACATATGGCTCTCCTTCCTGGTTCCTTTAATCCTACTTCTGCTCTTTGTGGAGCGTTTACTTTATATCTGTTTATACAACTTTGCTATGTTCCATTTAGAATAAAGCTAAAAGCAAAGATCTGAATTGAAATTGGATGGTTTGTGATTGCTCAGTAGGCCAGGCAGGGGTTGAAATAGATTTGGGAACTAAATTACATATTTTTAACTCAGCAGCACAGCTTGTGATAGGGAAATAAAAGGAACTGAAATGGTTCTCTCTCTCTTTTTTTTTTTTTTCATCCCTCTAGGATCTCCTCTCCTTGTCTCCCACATTCTCCCATTGGAGAAGAAAAGGGGGCAAGGTGAGAAGAGAAGGAGGAAAACACGTTGGGAGAAGGTGGATTGGGACTTCTGAAAGGATGTAGTTCTTTTTGTCTCTGGCAAATCAGTTTCTATCATTCTAAAGCAGCTTGCACCTGCTCGTATTTAATAAGTGACACATAAGTGAACCCTTCCAGAAAGAGCTTGAAAATAATTCCCCCTTGTTCTTGCCCACTTGCAAAACCATTATACGCCTTCTTAAAGACGCATAGCTAAGGTATGGACTAAACCACCAGGAGGTAGCTTAGGAAGCCTGTCCTTACCCCTTTTCTATTTATTGAAGGGTTACACAGCCTTTATTGCATGTCAGTCTTCTGAGCCACATGATCTGTAATAATAAATATTCCAGATATAGAGGATTGCTTTGAATCGCCTCCCATAACCTCTCCACAAGGAGAATGAAGCATTAGAGTCAATTTTGTGAGGTGGTTCACCAACGTAGGAGGACTTCACATTAGTGGAGTCCTCTGTCGTGTTAAAGACATTCTCACATTACATTATTTGCTAAGATGATCACAAAAATGCAAAGAGGTAAGCAAGGCAGGCATCATTCCTCTGTTAGAGAAAGGGCTGGGAATAGTTACAATGAACTATCCAAGAACCCTACAAGCTAGTGATGGATAAGGTTACAACTCACACCCCAATCTTTAAACCCTTAATCAGGCAGCTGGTCTGTTGCTATTTTACTGCTGAGGCTTTCTTGCTGTTGACTGAGAGTCAAATTTTCCTGAATATAATCTCCTCGTGAATAAGCAAAGTAGGTCTTTAAAGTAAGCAAAGCTACATTTCCCTTAAAGGAGTGAAATAACTATTATTCTAAACCCTTTATAACATTTTGAAATGGTGAGGAAAACATGGAAAGTTGTCTACATTTGTGTTAAGTTGGAATATTTTCCCCACACATATCAAATTGCCCTTGCAATGTTTTTGAAAGAGCTGTGTCCCAACTTAAGAATTAAATTTATGTGTCATTTGCTAGCTTTATTAATTGAATGTCAACAGAGGATATATTTTGAAAACTATATAGATGAACACTGCAAGTCCACAGGGCAATATAGAGGTAGAGCTTCATTCTCTTCTAATCTGTCCCATTCATTCATTCATTTGTTAAACCAACATGTATCAAGAGACTACTGTGTGTCCGGAACAATGTTAGTTTGTGAAGATATAATTCTGATCTGACACAGACCCTCAAAGATTTTACAGTGATGTAGAGAGATGAAAGTAACAAAGAAACAAATAACCAAATAATTAAATGAGAATAACTATTAGACAAACTAACAGCATGCTGAGAGAGAGAAAAATGTTTGGTGAGGGATCTATCTCAGATTTGGTGAACAAGGAAGTCTTCTAAGCCGAGACCTAAAGGTGCCAGGCTTCGAAAGGGTAAGAGAAAAGTTATTCTCAGGCAGAACAACAAAAGCAAGTACGAAAATCTGAAGGTAGATTATAGATTAGTATGATTTAGACAGTGAAAGGAGTCCAGTGTGCCTGTAGTGAGGAAGCAAGAGGAAGAATGTGATGGGATTAGGTTGGGATGGTAAGAGGAGGCCAGGCCATGCAAGCTTTTGGGGATCCTATAAAGGAACTTAGATTATTCCCTTAGTGGATCTGGTAGCCACTGGCATTTTCTAAGTAGCGGGAACGGCATGGTATAACGTAGACTGTAGTATGCTCTGTCTGCTTGCTGCATAAAGAAAGGCTTAGGAAAGGAAATGGGGCAATATTGAAAGCAAGGAGACCAGTGCAGAAACTCGTTCTTTCTTTCTTTCTGGCTCTATTTATTAAGTTGATGTCTGCTTG